TCAAGAGAACATAATAGATTACTTTAACTTATTGCTTTAACAGAGAATCAGTAATAGCTTTTGTGTCCAAAAATTTTTTTTCTTATAACTTTTTGTGACTTTTGCATACCCTCTTACTTCAAAAAATTTTTTATGCTTGTGATGTTTTTTATCTGTCAATTTTCTTGCTTTACATTTTGAAATAACCTATTAAAATCTTTAAATTAAGACAACATTTTTAAACAAGGTAACACATTAAATTTCAGTGTTAATTAATTTTAAGTGATGTTGAACTACTTTTTATATAGACAATCTATGAAAACACGTTAGCAAATTTAAGTAGTTTTTCTATAGAACATAAGGTGTAAGGTGTGGAAAGTACCAAAGTTTACATTTAGACACTTATCTCATTTGTCTTTACCCAATTTAAATTAGCAGTTACACCTAAATGACTTAAGATCCTGATATTATATATATCTGAATTTAATTAAAATTAAAATTGTATTTATCTAAAACAAGTGCTAATTACCTATTACTGTTTCATTGAGTACTGACCACCCAGAAATTTTTGAAAACAAATTGCAAAATAAGTTCAGCAAGTTACAAAGCAATATCTTCTGGCTTGTATGAGATAAAACAGAAGAGCCATCAGAAGGGTGGGATACCCGATTTGTTTCATTGATAAGACAGGGAGAGTAGACTTTGGACCAGACCTGATTTTAAGATAGAGTTCAAATTCTGAGATAAGGCAAGGGGGAGGAGAGTTACCCAGTCCATGCCAATCTCTAAGGCCAAAATCAAATTTTGTGCCAATCTTTCGCACAGCGCCACTGCTTTGAAACCCGCCAACAGAGCCTGGCGATAGACATGTGTGGGGAGCAACCCGGACTGGACTGAGTTACTGGAATTAAGACTTATTCTATGCATCTGCTCTCCCACAATGTGGCGCTGGGAGAGGAGCATACAGCTTCTACCCCGCTGCCTCTCACCAACTTGACAAGCTGCAAGAGCCGCTCCTGATTCCAGGAGCCGCTCCTGATTCCAGCGTACTCGGCATGTGGGCAGCCGAGTTGGGATTGGTGGAGGAGGACTATAAAGGAGGAGAGAGACAACATGCACCAGGAACACCTGAGGAACACCTGTGCAGCCCCTGAGAGAGCTGGCCGGTGGTGTGCCACTCCCCCGCGGAAGTGGGGAATGTGGCAGGGGGAACCACCCTTCCACGGAGGTGGAAGGGACGGTAGCCAACCCGGGAAGAACCAGCAGCAAACCCGGGGAGGGCCGAGCAGACGAAAGAACAACACAGGGTCCTGTGTTGTTCCTCCACGAAGACGGGGAGCGACATAATGGTGCCGTGACTCGGATAGGAAGCTTAGGAGGGAAGAAACGGGGAGAAATGGGAAAATACCAGAGAGAGAGACTAGCAAACAGCCTAGGGAAAAGCCGGACGAAAAAGGTGCTGGAAGAAGCTATTGAAAGCCTAGGCATAGACTCGGATACGGACTACGGGGGGAAGCCGGGAGAAATCTCTAAGGTCGAAAGCGAAAGTGAAAGCTAGAACAAACAGACTTGAATACGGACTGTGGGGAGAAGCCAGGAGAAATGAGGGAGGAATATTGTTGGAAGAAAACTTAGGGAAATATACCGGGTAGAGAAAAATGTTAGGGAAATTGAAGCCGCGGGGGGCAGGCCGAGGTGGAAACATAAGCCAGTTTGGAATTCTTTAAGTCAGCCCGGGGGGCAAAAGGTGAAAATCTGGAACCAGAGGCAGAGACGTGGGCCACCAGGTTGGAATCCGTCAGATTAGCCCAGGGAGCAAAGGACGGGAAGCCAAACCATAAGGCGGAGACACGTAAGCTAGGTTGAATTTGCCAGGTTAGCCCGGGGAACTTAGATTGAATACCGGTGGTGGCGGAAACGTAAGCTACGCTGTGTGACTCGCGGAAGCCGCCGCGTGCAGAGAGAGCACGGGGCGTGAATAGATAGGGAACGCGGGGCTGGTGCAAAGGGGGTGGAGACCGCGGAGGGCGCGAAGCCAAGCCGCGCAAAGCCGGGAAGCCGCGCAGATGAGGGAAGCGTGGGCTGAAGCAGCTCAGAGCCAGGAAGCCGCCGAGAAGCAGCCTCGGGGCGGGCGCCGGGAAGCCGCAGGGATAAGAGAAACAGAAGTTTAGAAGTGAAATGAGAGAAATAGGAATGCTGGTAGATAGAAGTAAAATAGGAGAAATAGGAATGCCCGGAGATAGAGAAATAGAGAAAGGCCTCCCCACAACATAGCAATGAGAGAGCTTGGATTCGGTCTGCCTGATTAGGATGATAAGCACCTGCGGGCGGCTAGCAGCTTATGCGCCGCAGGTCACCGAAGACAGGCACAAATTAACATCAATAAGTCTCCCCACAATACAGCAATGAGAAGGCTTGGATTCGGTTTGCCTGATTGCTAGGTCTTGTAAGCACCTGCAGGCAGTTCTAGCAGAGCAGAGCATGCGCTGCAGGGCACCGAACACAGGCACACATCAGCGCCTAAAAACCTCCTCACAACATGGCGAAGAGAGGACCCGGATTCGGTTTGCCTGATTGGTGGGCTTGTAAGCACCTGTGGGCAACTCTAGCAAGCAGAGCAGAGTGTGTGCCACGGGGCACCGAAGACAGGCGCGTATCAATGCCAAAAAATAAAAAGAAACGGGGATCTGTGGGGAGCAACCCGGACTGGACTGAGTTACTGGAATTAAGACTTATTCTATGCATCTGCTCTCCCACAATGTGGCGCTGGGAGAGGAGCGTACAGCTTCTACCCAGCTGCCTCTCACCAACTTGACAAGCTGCAAGAGCTGCTCCTGATTGGAGGAGAGCAGCGTACTCGGCGTGTGGGCAGCCGAGTTGGGATTGGCGGAGGAGGACTATAAAGGAGGAGAGAGACAACATGCACCAGGAACACCTGAGGAACACCTGTGCAGCCCCCGAGAGAGCCGGCCGGTGGTGTGCCACTCCCCCGCGGAAGTGGGGAATGTGGCAGGGGGAACCACCCTTCCACGGAGGTGGAAGGGACGGTAGCCAACCCGGGAAGAACCAGCAGCAAACCCGGGGAGGGCCGAGCAGACGAAAGAACAACACAGGGTCCTGTGTCGTTCCTCCACGAAGACGGGGAGCGACAGACATGGACTCTCTCCTTTACAGAAATTAACCCAATTGTAATTGTCCTTTTTAACATTTACATTGTTTTAACATGCCAGAGGCTGTTCACCTTGGAGACCTGTTGCAGATATGGGTATGGCCCGGCGTGAGAGATTTATACCCTCTCCCCAGATTTTTAAGGGCCAGCAAGAGCTCAGGGATGCCGCCAGCCCCCCAGGGCTCCCGCTGGCTTTCCGCGCTTTATTGAAATTTTTTACTTTGACATTTAGAGCACTGGGCAGAAATCACATCGCGTCAACACATGCCACGGGCCCTCAGGATGCTTTAACAATTGGATTCCCCTGGTCTGCACCAGTTCTAAGTTGGCTGTTAGGTGCCAGCCAAGGCCAGCCACTGCATGGAACTGAGGCCGCAGGGGTGGGCCCGGCGGGGGGAGGGGCCACGCACTGCGCGGCACTGCGGGAAAAGGAGAGGGGTCTCCTCCTCGCACCCCGACCCCGGGAGCACCGCGCATGCAGAGCCTGCCAGGCTCCCCGAAGGCGGCCGCAACTCCCATCGCAGCTGGAGCAATCCATGGGAAGGGCCCAGCTCTCATCCAGAGTCCCCGCCGCCTGCTCCCCAGGTGCCGGGGGAAGGCGCACATCCAACTCCACTTTGCGCTCCAGCCCGACCGACCCAGCCCCTAACCTACATTATTATGAGCCACCTTTTTTTTTACATTTTTTTTTTACTGTGCAAGAGTTAGATCCAGTGGAGTCACCCCATGTTCTGTCCAGTTAAGTCAGTTGTCAACAGAAATAACACAAACACCACTTAACGAAAAGACAAACACAGGGCCCATATAGAATTTCTGCGGACAGATTCAGATGGTCATATTACAGAAGATCTCGACTGCTCCAAGGGCAAACCTCCGGGAGTCTGAAGGAGACCAAAGACCTTACAGATGGGACAAGAACTCTGCAGCAGTCCCTGTTCTCTTCATCCCCAGATACAGATTGGACCTACCCAGGTACCAGATGAGGAATCGGGACATCTCCCGTTTCCTGCAGGGTGTGCCCTGCAAGCGTGTCCACTTGGGCAGTGACCCTCCACAGATTCAGAATACAGATACAACGGCCGATGCTTCAGATTCATTGTTTAACGAACAAACAAAAAAACTCACCCAGTCAACTGGAGCAAACCTTCGGGGTTGAAGTAGCTGAGGGGCTTTTTGGGGATCACAATCCCAGACAAGCCCCCAAATATGTTGTGCCCAGATCATTAGATCCCCGCAGAGACCCCCAGAGAGTTGATCACACCAAACTGTAAGAGCAAGGTTTCTTCGGGAGTACAAGCCACAACAGGGACCCCATCCAATGAACCCATGCAGCAGAGGAAGGAGTGAGGCCCCAGTCTTTGTTTGGGAGAGTTTTTAAAGGAAAAATGGGCTACATCAGCAGGAAAAAAGAGTTCATACAGCATGGAAGCTTTGGGCTCAGGGAGTTACAGCGGGGGCTTACAGCACCGGAGCTTTGGGGGCAGGGAGTTACTTTGTTTAGCAATCTCTACTGTGCTGTCCTTGGTCTACCGAGCTAGCTGTCCCTGGTAAAGTTTGATATCTCTGGAATGCCTGAATGCCTGCTTTTACAAGGACCTGGGTCTGCTATGGGAAATGGAGGCTGCTTTTTTTATTGTTTTAAAATGGAGTAATTTTGGTTCTTCACCACCTGGGTCTGTGACCCAGATCCTGCCTTGTGATGAGGGATGATGAGGCTGGCAGGGAGGCAGCTGTCGCCTCTGCATGGGCAGCGGAGGCTGGGGCCCAGTGGCTGTAGAAAAAGGCTGTCCCTGGCTCAAAGCTGAAGAGCCCTGGAGGCGGAGCCTAATAAAGAATGTGTAAATAAAGGTCAGGTGTCATAAAGGGTGGGGCGGGGTGCACAGTTGCTAAGGCACGTGCTCCAAGGGGCTGCCATAATCCATCCAGCTCCTGCTCAGGGCATACTGCATGTGCCCCAGCAGCCTGAGTCACTGTATCCTGAAAACCCCATCAATGACCCATCTGTGCCTGTGGGTCCCATGGCTCCTCTTCAAGTGGCAACTGCTGTGGCTGCTGGTCCAGGCGACTCAGCCTCTGGAGTGGACCCAGGACCTGGTCCAGCTGACCTCCAGCCTCCCTTGGCTCTCTGAGCCCTGGTCTTCCCACTCCTCGAACTTCCCACCTGAATCACCTGACGCGCTCACACCCATGGCAGACCCCAGCAGCTCTGATGACCTGCGGTCTTCTGCTCTCTTCCCAGATGCTGGCCTCGCCTCAAGAGTCCACTGTGAGTTTGCTTCCTTTTCTGGAACTGCCCCCAGAGCCAGAACAGCTTGCTGTTCCGTACCAGTATTTCAATAGGCTGACTCGACAACAGAGGCTACCAGAGGCGATTCCCGTGCTAGACGGGGATCAGGATCAGCCCCTGGCTCTGCCTCCTTGACTGGAAGGAAATGCTCACCAGTCATTGGAAGCACTCGTTCTGCCTCTAGACAGTCAGAGTTCACAAGGAAACAAGTTGATTGTTTCACCCCTGACTCCCAAGAAAGATCTAGCTCGGCGTCGATGGCTTCCTAAGGTTGGTGTTGGAACTCCAGACAAATGCAGACAAGCTTCAGGGTCAAAATCAAGTTTTGCTGGCTGACTATGGGGTCTATCCTGGTGGTTTTCCTACAGAATCCCAGGAGAACCCAGGGAGAACTGCACAGCCCTCTGAGCAGGCTGAACCATCTCAATTCCTGCTGGAGGGCCAGACTCAAAATCCAGAGACTCAGGAGCCCATCCAATCCTCCTCCCCACAGCAAGAAGAACAAGCTCCGCCTCCACAGCCCAGTTGAACCAGATGAACCTTCTTCACCCCAGCAAGAGGGCCCAGGTGCAGACCTACAGCAGCCCGAGGAAGAAGCATCTCCATTGCAGCAGGAGGCCCCCGCTCAGAATCCATTTGCTACTGCAGAAGTAGTAGGTCAGGCATCAGTGTATCACGATCCTAACACTCCATCCTCACCTCAGATTGTAGCTCTCCAAGCAAACTTCCCCAGCATCACACTGAAACCTGCAGACACGGAGCTGACAGAAGCCTCAGGGGCAGGTGAGGAAGTTCAATCTACTCCAAGCACAGAGCAGGCTCCAGCTCAGCCTCTGGGGCATCCTGAGGGAGTGGGACTCCCCTCAGCCCAACAAGAGGCCCCAGTGCAGACTCCGGAATTCCCTGGGAGGGTGGAATCTTGGACTCAAGAGGGTCTAGCTCAGACTTCAGATCTCCCTGAGGAGACTGGACCTTTCTCTACCCAAAACGATGCCACAGCTCAGCCCTCAGAGTATGCTGAGGAAGTCAGCCCATCTGTAGGCCAGCAGGGGGCCCCAGCTCAGCCTCCAGGCCTGCCTGTGACCACTGAATATTCCCCAGCAATCAGGAGCAGCCTGCTCAGCCTTCTGAGTCTCCCGAGATCGAACCTTCTAGAAGCCAACTGGAAGACCCGGAGAAGCCTTTGGCACTCCCTGTGGAAGTCAAATCTCCAGTACAGCAAGATCCCCAAGCTCAAGCGCTAGACTCTCCTGAAGAGACTATCATAGCTCAGACAACACAGATTCAGAAGGGGACAGACTGGTCTCTAGATCAGAATCAAGATCACCGTTCTAACCTGCCCAACGTTACCATCAAGCCTGCAGATGTGGCGCTGATCATAACTCCGGAGCCTACCATGGAGCGGGACTCTGCTCCAGTGCAGCAGGAGGGCTCTGCTCAGACTCCAGGCCCTCCTGTGGAGACAGAACCCTATATTAGTGATCAGGAGCAGCCCACTCAGTATGTTGAGTCTTCTGTAGAGAACAAACCCTCTCCAGCCCAGCAGGAGACCCCATATCAAACTCTGGGCCCTTCCCTGGAGACAGAAGCTTCTCCAGCCCAGCAGGAACCCCCAGAGCAGACTCCGGTCCCTTCTGCAGAGACAGAACCTTCCCCATTCCAGCAGGCACCCAGAGCTCACACTGCACGCCCTTCCGTGGAGGCAGAACCTTCTCCCCGTGAACAGGAGCAGATAGCTCAGTATGCAGAGGCTCTGGTGGAGACTCAGCCTCCTCCAGGTCCTCCTGTGGAGACAGAGCCTTCTCTCAGAGAACAGCAGCAGATTGCTCAGTACGCGGAGGCCCTGGTGGAGACTCAAGCTCCTCCAGGCCAGCTGGAGGCCCTAGCTCTGACTCCAGTCCCTCCTATGGAGACCGAACCTTATATCAGTGAGCAGAAGCAACCAAGGCGGCCCTCTGAGTCTTCTGAGGAGGTTGAATCTTCTGGAAAGAAGACAGAAGTCCCAGCCCAGCCTCCAAGTCCTCACGCAGTGACCATTTTATCTCCCGGTCACTATCAAGTTCAGCAGTACGACTTGCACAATGTGACTACTAAACCTCCAGACCTGCAGCTGACCATAACACCAAAACCTGCAGCAGAAGTGGAAACATTTCCAGTCAGCCATCAGGCCACGACAACTCAGGCCTCAGTCCCAGCTCTGCCTCCAAAGCCTCTTGAAGAGGTTGAACCATTGCCAATTCAATCCCCAGAAGTTATGCAGGATGAGAAACCCTCTATGACCCAACAGGAGGAAACAGCTGAAAATGTACAGACCCCAAGGAGGCTGAGCCTTCTCCAATCCATCAGGAAGCCCAAGCTCTGAGGCCCAGGTGCAACTGCCCTGTGCCAAGCTCACCTCCAAAACAGGCATCCTGATGAAGCTCCTCAGTGAGCAGCAGGAAGAAAAGATAGCCAAGAAAGAATGGGACACAGAGCAGTGGAGGACTGAGACCTATATCAATGAGAGTACAGAAGCCCCGAGTGGACAGAAAGAGCAGGAGTCGAGTAAGGTGAGGACAGGAGACCTGCACTTTCCCATCACTTAGGAGACCCCACATGGGAAGACCAGGGGCTCCCAGTCCAGATCCCTTGGCTCTCTGAGCTCTGGTCTTCCCACTCCTTGAATGTCCCACCTGAATCGCCTGACTCGCTCACACCCATGGCAGACCCTGGCTGGCTTTGATTACCTGGGGTCTTCTGCTCCCTTCCAGGTGCTGGCACACCACACCCACTTCCATGCCTACTCCTTCTCTGGGCACCTCTCCCTCCTTCCTCTAGTCTCATATTCAAGAGCAACAATTGGCCACCAGGCACCTACCCAGATGTCCTGGCCGCACACCTCAAGAACGCCTTTGCTGGCACCTTGGCTCACCTGTTTGACCCACCCAAGGAACCCCTTTACAGGTAACTTAGTTCTTTGTTTCTATTCATAGGATCTTACCTAGCCATATGGCCTGCTGCCTCTGCCAATTTAAACATACTATCAAGAGTGTCTGCATGACCATCAAGCCTGGCAAATACGAACACATTGGCGTGAGTCGGAACTACCTGATGATCTTTTTTTTTAATTTTTATTTGTTTTAAATTTCTTACTTTAAAATTTTAGGGACAAGTTTAAAGTAACAATGTGATTAACTGCTATATTTTTATTCATCCATTCAGATTTCAACTCCCTAAATTGCTAAACTGCTCCCTTGCTAAAAGTCAGGTTCCCAATTACCACTATGTAATTTAATAATGTAACTTACATATGCACAAAGGATCATGAAAAAGAGATGGAAGGGGAAGGAAGTAATGTTGGGAACCACACACGTGGTGTTCTGTGCTCTTGGGTGCTTTGCTTTCCAATGATAACTCATTTGCACACAGTCTATAAACTGGTTTTCTATGTGTTGGGCCTCAAGGGCCCTCTGTCTTATAGAACAGGTCTACACTGCTCACTGTGGTTGTTTGTTTTTGCACTTGTAGAAAAGAGTACAAGTGATGCTCTTTTATTGGGAGCCTGGGAGTTTCTGGTCCCATAACCAGAAATGGCTGCCTGGCTCCTCTGATGCAGTCGGAAGGCTTCTCCATTCCTGTAGACTGTCCAACTCTGAACCTGCTCTGAGTCTCACGCTTTTCTATCCACAGAACACTCGGGTACTTTTAAGTATCTTTCTGTAGATGAGGGTTATTACCACTGATGTCATGACTTCCAAAATGTGACCACTTTCTTCCTTAGACAGCTTGAATTCGGATCTCAGTCAGGGATCTGAGGCATTAGCACAGTGATAACTGTATACCCATCTACACAGTGTTGCTCACCTTCCAGACCAGTTTCCTACCAATTATATTATTCCCTTCGTCTCAAGAGGTGAGAAGGACAAGCATTGTTAATCTCCCTTTACAAGGGTGGGAAAGAACACATTGAGGTGAGGAGCAAGGCCCCTTGGCTTGACCACCTCTGCCCTCACTCCCCTTACATGCCTATCTTTTGCCATGGACACCTGTGATGGCAGCAAGAACACAGGGCCACAGGGAGGGAGGGAGGGAGGAAGCCTGTGCTCCCTCAGCATGAGGCAGGACTGTGGAATGATGTGGCTGAGAAGCAGGGGCAGAGCCACAGAAGGGGCAGCTGGGTGGGGCCATTTGTCCTCCAGCCTTATTCTAAGCCTGGAGTGGTTGGTCATTGGAAACCAATGAAATAATACTGATCATAGTTACTGCTTTTTAACACTGTGAACTCTTCTGAACTGCCCCTCTCAAAAATACCTTTTTCTCCTTTGTTGTTGCCTTTTCATAAGGTTTGAGTTTGGTTTTACTTTTCTCTCTAAAGTCTCAATGATCGCTGGCGCCCCAGCTCAATAGGCTAATCCTCCACCTAGCGGCACTGGCCCACTTGGTTCTAGTCCCGGTCGGGGAGCTGGATTCTTTCCCGGTTGCCCCTCTTCCAGGCCAGCTGTCTGCTGTGGCCAGGGAAGGCAGTGGAGGATGGCCCAAGTGCTTAGGCCCTGCACCCCATGGGAGACCAAGAGAAGCACCTGGCTCCTGCCTTTGGATCATGCGCGGTGCACAGGCACAGCACGCCAGCCGTGGCGGCCATTGGAGGGTGCAAACCAACGGCAAAAGGAAGACCTTTCTCTCTGTTTCTCTCTCTCTCACTGTCCACTCTGCCCGTCAAAAAATTCTTTTTAAATTTAAAGTCTCAATGGTACCCCAAATATTAGATTTGACTCCTAATTTAATTGATCAGAGTGTAGGGCTGTGGACTGACATAAAACTGTCCCATCAGTCTTCTGTGCCAAAAAGCAGTCTCTTCTTTTTTTGACAGTTGAAGAAGCATCTATAGGGAACCCAAAGGGGGCATTCATGAAGATATGCAAGCCTGGAAGAACAACACCAGCAAGCAGCTGACTATTGAGCCAGAGAACTCAGTATCAAGGAGAAACAGCTGTGGACTTCCCAGGCCGCATGAGTGAACAGCGGGACCTCAACGATGAAAGTGACGTTATTAGTGCACTTATTATTGCCTTATTTCTCAGAGGAAAATCTACAAAATGTAGAATCAACATTATTACCATTCATTACACTGCTTTTTTCAAATGTGCAAGATAGAGATAAGTCCCTGAGCTATGTGAAAACCCACATAAGGAGGCCCTCTCATCCTTACAGAAATAAGTTGAGAAAGCTCTATTTTCTGGAGAATTTGTTAGATGAAGTATTCAAGAAAAAAATCGATGAGGTTAAAAAGGAAGAAAAAGCCACACTTATGCAGCCTATCCTGTTAGGTCCTCAATTTAACCCTCAAATCCTCCTAAAGAAATCAGAAACTGCCCCATCACAGAAGAACAGCCTGGCAACCATGCCAAGTGTGGGGTACAGGCTGCAGAGAGTGAAAAAAGTCACCAAGGGGCCAAAGGGCTTACGGGAAAGGCACCTCCAGGAGATGAGGAAGAGCCTCGGGAGGAGACAGGGCACCTGGCCCTTTGCGGAGAGCATTGGGGGAAGAAGGCTTGGGAGAGCAGGCTCCAGGGAGCTGAAGGAGCTTCAAGTGGCTCAGAGGCCCAGGCAGGTGGCCGGAAACTCCTTGCACATGGAGCCCTTGCTCACGAAGGAACGTGAGGCTGCAGCCCCCTCTTTCCTGAAGAAACACATCCTGGGCAGGCCTTCTACCTCCCCTCCAAAATCTCTCTCTGAGATCAACAACAAAGGAAGACTTAACCTACACCATTTTTGTCTTAGAAGATGCCAATGCTAGAGCCAAAAATAAGGCGGCAGGGAAACCAATCTCGCATTCCAGACAGAATTACCGCTTTCATAAAACTCGCTCTCTCTCACCTGGTCCTCCGAACCCCCAAGGCCAAACTGAGTCAGAAGTTCAGAAGGAAAAATTCCCTCAACAGGCTGACGGCTGGGAAGAGGCCTCCGTTCCCTGCACTGCGGAGTCTCATAAATTCCCCATCCGGAGAGGCTTTCTCATCCCCCGGAGGCCTGCATTCTCAGGGGAGTCCTCCTCTGAGAGAATTGGCACTTTCAGAACCTTCTATAGAAGACACGGGAGGAAAACCATTCCGGAGGGCGTGTTTTCGAAGAAAATATTTTGACAGAAAACACCACTGTGCATGAAGAAACGCTCCCTGGCGACAAAATGCACATAGATCCTTCAGCTACAGATTCTGCTGGGACCGAGTTCAACGTAATGCCAACTGTGGACCAAACCAAGGAAACACAGTGGGAATACCCCAGCGAGGGCACTGAAGCCCTCACCATGCCCGCAGGCTTCACCTACCCCGTGATGCTGTCCCAGGGAGAACAGTTTGAAATTCAGCTGAATCAGCAGCTACGGTCCCTCATCCCCAACACGGACATGAAAAAGCTCATTTCTCACGTCATCCGCACTCTGAAAATGGACTGCTCTGAGGCCCAGGCGCAACTGCCCTGTGCCAAGCTCATCTCCAAAACAGGCATCCTGATGAAGCTCCTCAGTGAGCAGCAGGAAGAAAAGATAGCCAAGAAAGAATGGGACACAGAGCAGTGGAGGACTGAGACCTATATCAATGAGAGTACAGAAGCCCCGAGTGGACAGAAAGAGCAGGAGTCGAGTAAGGTGAGGACAGGAGACCTGCACTTTCCCATCACTTAGGAGACCCCACATGGGAAGACCAGGGGCTCCCAGTCCAGATCCCTTGGCTCTCTGAGCCCTGGTCTTCCCACTCCTTGAATGTCCCACCTGAATCGCCTGACTCGCTCACACCCATGGCAGACCCTGGCGGCTTTGATTACCTGGGGTCTTCTGCTCCCTTCCAGGTGCTGGCACACCACACCCACTTCCATGCCTACTCCTTCTCTGGGCACCTCTCCCTCCTTCCTCTAGTCTCATATTCAAGAGCAACAATTGGCCACCAGGCACCTACCCAGATGTCCTGGCCGCACACCTCAAGAACGCCTTTGCTGGCACCTTGGCTCACCTGTTTGACCCACCCAAGGAACCCCTTTACAGGTAACTTAGTTCTTTGTTTCTATTCATAGGATCTTACCTAGCCATATGGCCTGCTGCCTCTGCCAATTTAAACATACTATCAAGAGTGTCTGCATGACCATCAAGCCTGGCAAATACGACACATTGGCGTGAGTCGGAACTACCTGATGATCTTTTTTTTTTTTTTTTAATTTTTATTTGTTTTAAATTTCTTACTTTAAAATTTTAGGGACAAGTTTAAAGTAACAATGTGATTAACTGCTATATTTTTATTCATCCATTCAGATTTCAACTCCCTAAATTGCTAAACTGCTCCCTTGCTAAAAGTCAGGTTCCCAATTACCACTATGTAATTTAATAATGTAACTTACATATGCACAAAGGATCATGAAAAAGAGATGGAAGGGGAAGGAAGTAATGTTGGGAACCACACACGTGGTGTTCTGTGCTCTTGGGTGCTTTGCTTTCCAATGATAACTCATTTGCACACAGTCTATAAACTGGTTTTCTATGTGTTGGGCCTCAAGGGCCCTCTGTCTTATAGAACAGGTCTACACTGCTCACTGCGGTTGTTTGTTTTTGCACTTGTAGAGAAGAGTACAAGTGATGCTGTTTTATTGGGAGCCTGGGAGTTTCTGGTCCCATAACCAGAAATGGCTGCCTGGCTCCTCTGATGCAGTCGGAAGGCTCCTCCATTCCTGTAGACTGTCCAACTCTGAACCTGCTCTGAGTCTCACACTTTTCTATCCACAGAACACTCGGGTACTTTTAAGTATCTTTCTGTAGATGAGGGTTATTACCACTGATGTCATGACTTCCAAAATGTGACCACTTTCTTCCTTAGACAGCTTGAATTCGGATCTCAGTCAGGGATCTGAGGCATTAGCACAGTGATAACTGTATACCCATCTACACAGTGTTGCTCACCTTCCAGACCAGTTTCCTACCAATTATATTATTCCCTTCGTCTCAAGAGGTGAGAAGGACAAGCATTGTTAATCTCCCTTTACAAGGGTGGGAAAGAACACATTGAGGTGAGGAGCAAGGCCCCTTGGCTTGACCACCTCTGCCCTCACTCCCCTTACATGCCTATCTTTTGCCATGGACACCTGTGATGGCAGCAAGAACACAGGGCCACAGGGAGGGAGGAGGGAGGGAGGGAGGGAGGGAGGGAGGGAGGGAGGAAGCCTGTGCTCCCTCAGCATGAGGCAGGACTGTGCAATGATGTGGCTGAGAAGCAGGGGCAGAGCCACAGAAGGGGCAGCTGGGTGGGGCCATTTGTCCTCCAGCCTTATTCTAAGCCTGGAGTGGTTGGTCATTGGAAACCAATGAAATAATACTGATCATAGTTACTGCTTTTTTAACACTGTGAACTCTTCTGAATGCCCCTCTCAAAAATACCTTTTTCTCCTTTGTTGTTGCCTTTTCATAAGGTTTGAGTTTGGTTTTACTTTTCTCTCTAAAGTCTCAATGATGGCCGGCACGGCTCAGTAGGCTAATCCTCCACCTAGCGGCACTGGCCCACTTGGTTCTGGTCCCTGTCGGGGAGCTGGATTCTTTCCCGGTTGCCCCTCTTCCAGGCCAGCTCTCTGCTGTGGCCAGGGAAGGCAGTGGAGGATGGCCCAAGTGCTTAGGCCCTGCACCCCATGGGAGACCAAGAGAAGCACCTGGCTCCTGCCTTTGGATCAGCGCGGTGCGCAGGCCACAGCACGCCAGCCGTGGCGGCCATTGGAGGGTGAACCAACGGCAAAAGGAAGACCTTTCTCTCTGTTTCTCTCTCTCTCACTGTCCACTCTGCCCGTCAAAAAATTCTTTTTAAAATTTAAAGTCTCAATGGTATCCCAAATATTAGATTTGACTCCTAATTTAATTGATCAGAGTGTAGGGCTGTGGACTGACATAAAACTGTCCCATCAGTCTTCTGTGCCAAAAAGCAGTCTCTTCTTTTTTTGACAGTTGAAGAAGCATCTATAGGGAACCCAAAGGGGGCATTCATGAAGATATTGCAAGCCTGGAAGAACAATACCAGCAAGCAGCTGACTATTGAGCCAGAGAACCCATTATGTACAGATCCCCGTGGAGGCTGGACCTTCTCCAATCCATCAGGAAGCCCAAGCTCACGCCTCAGTGTTCCCTACGGAGCATGAGCCTTTGAAAGACCAGGAGGCAGACACAGCTCAGCAGCCAAAGCCCCCGGAAGAGGATGAGCACTCCCCAGTTCCAGGGATCCCAGCTCAGCCTGAAGAACTGAAGGAACCTTCACCAAGCCAGCAGGGGATTTCTGTTCCACCTCTAGAGTGCCCCGTAAGTGCTTACCAATTACCACTCCAACAGGGAAACACAAACCAGCCTTCAGTAATCTTCCCAGAGATGAGTGATGCTATCCCAATGAATATGACATTATTTTCACCTCTTATTCCGGAAGAAATACTTAGAACTCAGCATTTAAGGTTGTCTAAAACCACACCAAAACATGTGGATATTGACCTTACCAGAACCCTAAAGCCCACTCCAGAAGTTTGTCCTTACTGGAGTCAGCAGGAAGGACCTGCCCAGCCTACAGTTCCCACCGAGTGAGTTGAATTTTCTCCAACCCAGCTTGAGCCTCCTCTTGCCAAGCCTCTGGCACTGCCTGAAAAGATGGAACTTTCTCAGCTGAGCCTCCAGAGCCCCTCAGGAATGCAGAACAAGCTCCAGTACAAAATGTAGCCCCAGCCAAGCCACAAGACTTCCCTAACACTCAATCAGTCTGCAACCCAGCAGGAGCTTCAAACTCAGCAACCAAACCTGACCAAAGTCACAGGTCAACCTTTGGATGTGGAACTCACCATAACTACACAACCTGGAATGGAAGGCGGACTTTCTCCAATCATGCAGGAGGCCCCAGTTCAGCTTCCAGGGCCATCTAAGGGGGGTATAGCTCAACCCCCAGGATATCAGGGGGTGACAGTTCCAACACCAGCTCAGGATCAAGATCAGTTTCCAAAATCACCCCGCATCATGTTTCGACCTTTTGATCTGGCACTTACAATAACTCCACAGCCCATTACAGAGGCTGAACTTGCCACAAATGTGCAGGAGACTCCAACTAAAGAAACTGTAGCTCAGTACCAGTGCATCATGTGATGACAGTTCCAACATTAGGTCAGGATCAAAATCAACCTCCACTATCACCCAGTGTCACAAATCAACCTTTAGACCTGGCACTTACCATTACTACAGAACCTACTACAGAGGCTGAGCATCCTGCAGACCTGAGCAAGACTACAGCTCCATCTTCAAACCTGACTCCAGTCACAACTCAACATCTGGACCTGGGACTTACCATAACTCCAGAAACCAGCAGTATGGTGACTGAACCCTCTACAGACATGCAGGAGACCTCAAGTCACCCTCCCACGGAGGGTGTAACCCAATCTCCAATACATCAAGAGGTGACAGTTCCAACACTGGGTCATAATCAAGCTCAATATCCAACATTGCCTCACATCACAGTTCAGCCTTTGGACACAGTGCTTACCATAAATGCAAAGCGTACCAGGAAGGCTGAACATTCTACAGCCCTGAAGAAGACTAAAGTACCTCCCGTGCTCCATGAGGAGGTACTTTCACAACCACACCAGGTTCAGGCTCAGCATCCAACCCTGACAGAAGTCACAGTTCAACCTTTTGATGTAGAACTTACCCTAACTCCAGAATCCATTGTGAAGGGTGAACCACTCCCAACCATGCAGGAGACTTCAGGGCAGCCTCCAGGGCCACATAATGAAGTGGTCTATCATCCTCCAGTTTATTATGAGAATGTAGTTCCAAAACCAAGTCAAGATCAAACTCTGCATCCATTGTCACCCAGTGCCACAGCTGAACCTTCAAAGCTAGAGCCAACCATAACTCAGATATCCACTACACAGGATGACATTCTACAGCCTTCAAGTCTATATCTCCTCCTCCTTATCCAATGTACCCTGAGGTGACATTTTGACATTTCTTTTTTTTCTTTTTTTAAAATTTTTTATTTAGTAAATATAAATTTTCAAAGTACAGTTAATGGATTACAATGGCTTCCCCCCACACAATTTCCCTCCCACTCACACCCCTCCCATCTCCCGCTCCCTCTCCCATTCCATTCACATCAAGATTCATTTTCAATTATCTTTATATACAGAAGATCAATTCAGTATATATTAAGTAAAGATTTCATCAGTTTGCACCCACACAGAACATAAAGTGTAAAATACTGTTTCCATACTAGTTATAGCATTACTTCACATTGGACAACACACTAAGGACAGATCCCACATGAGAAGTAAGTACACAGTGACTCCTGTTGTTGACTTAACAATTTGACACTCTTGTTTATGGCATCAATAATCTCCCTAGGCTCTTGTCATGAGTTGCCAAGGCTATGGAAGCCTTTTGAGTTCACCGACTTTGATCTTATTCCGACAGGGTCATAGTCAAAGTGGAAGTTCTCTCCTCCCTTCAGAGAAAGGTACCTCCTTCTTTGATGGCCCCATTCTTTCCACTGGGATCTCACTCACCGAGATCTTCCATTTAGGTCTTCCTTTATTTTTTTCCCAGGGTGTCTTGGCTTTCCATGCCTAAAATACTCTCATGGGCTCTTCAGCCATATCCGAATGCCTTAAGGGCTGATTCTGAAGAGTGCTATTTAGGGCATCTGCCATTCTATGAGTTTACTGTGTATCCCACTTCCCATGATGGATTGTTCTCTCCCTTTTTGATTCTATCAGCTAGTATTAGCAGACACTAGACTTGTTTGTGTGATCCCTTTGACTCTTAGACCTATCAGTGTGATCAATTGTGAACTGAAATTGATCACTTGGACTAGTGAGATGGCATTGGTACATGCCACCTTGATGGGATTGTATTGGGATCCCCTGGCATGATTCTAACTCCACCATTTGGGGCAAGTCCGATTGAGCATGTCCCAAATTGTACATCTCCTCCCTCTCTTATTCCCACTCTTATATTTAACAGGGATCATTTTTCAGTTAAAATTTAAACACCTAAGAATAATTGTGTGTTAATCACAGAGTTCAACCAATAGTACTAGAACAAAACAAAGAGAAAATACTAAAATGGATAATGAAATAAATGAGATCCGCTTCTTGCATTTCTTCTATCTCATCATCTTCATAATCTTGAATTGGGGTGTCTTTTTCATTTGGGGGCATCATAGTGTCTTCCTTGTTCTTATTACCTTGGTTTTTGCGTTTGTTGTTTGGCATATTGGAGATATTTGGTTTCTTCACTGTGGTGCTTTTTCTTGTTATACTATGACTCTGGATTAAGTGGACTGTCTGTTTTTGATGGAGCCTTAGAGGCATGAGATGGGTGTGGCCTGAGAGCTCTGTTTGGTTCCTCAGGGTTAAGGGTGTGCCAAAGGTGACAGTCCCAGGTAAGGCATGGTAAATCTCTCTCTCTTTCTTTCTTTCTTTTGATTCAAAAGGGAAGTAATTCCACACAGCTGAACAGAATTGGAGGTAGTTAGCAGGCAAATGATATACCCACAGGAGCCAGAGATCGGAAGCTCTTTCCCAAGGACCACACAGGGAATCTGTCCTGCCCTCAGTGTGGGCTCAAATTCTCCTGCAGTCTCCCACTGGGTTGCCAAGGTTACTGAATTGTAGCATCTCTGGAGAGTACTCACGTGAATTCTGTGAGTTCTCTCCCCCATCGTCTCTTTTTTCACAGTCTCAGCTCAGTAGCACCACACATTCACTAGGTCCTAATCTCCAGTTAATGCACCCCCCACCCCAAGTTAGGTTTTTCTGCTAGGCTCAGGGCCGGTGCAGACCTGAGGTCGCCCTGCTTATGACGTATGTCCAAGATGGCGCCTGCTCTTTGTCTTGCTCGCCTATGAGAGGTGAGCAGAGAGAGAGAAACTCATGTCTGTATCGGTCACTTTTTTTTTCTGTCTCTCTCTCTCTCTTCTAGTTAGCCTGGTGAACTTTTACCTCTTTCTGCTTGCCTGCCAGTGTCTCGGGCTATTGAGGTTCAGCTCACCTTGCGTTCCAGCACTGGTGTGTTGAGTCTGCCGCTGGTGTCCAAACTGTGGGCTCCCACGCTCTCCACACAGGTCCACCAAAGTCTTAACTCCAGAGATTGATGTTTGCTCAAGTCTTACTGAGGCAGTTTGAGCTTCTTCAATTTTCCTTCTCCCCTTCCAGCACTGGTGCGCAGACTCTGCGGCTCCCGTGGCTTGGCTTCCACGTGGTGGGCAACCTTGCTCTCCCCGTAGGTCCTCCGAGTCACAGCCACTAGATCCGGAAGTTTCCTCTGCAATTTTTTCCTGATCCTTTTCCTGAGGCTACCGTAACTCCACTTTTATTAAACTATCTTTTCCCAGACTATCGGTGCGCGCCCTCACTATTCCGCCATCCTCCTGAGGTGACATTTTCACCTCCAGTCCAGTTTCAGACTCAGCATGCAAACCTACCTCCAGTCACAGTGAAGCCTCTGGACCTGGAAATTACCCACACCCCACAACTACTACAGAGGTTACACCTTCTACTACCATGCAAATGACCCTAACTCAGTCTACAGAGCCACTAAAGGAGCTTGTAACTCAGTCCCCAGGGTACAATGAGATGACAGTTCCAACAGCAGGTCAGCATCAAGCTCAGCACCCAACATCACCCAGTGTCATAGCTCAGCCTTCCAAGATGGAGCTTACCAGAACTCTGGTACCCACTGCAAAAGCTGGCCATTCTCCATCCCTGAAGAAGACTACAGATCTACATCCAGGCCAGGTTCAGACTCAGCACCCAACCCTAACTGAAGTCACAGATCAACCCCTGAATGCGGCTGCCACCATAAATGTCTGTGAGCTCTGCTCCTGCAAAGATGAGACACTTTCATGCACTGGCCTCAGCCCAGTGCAGAAGCTTCACAAAGTTCCTGTACCAGAGCCCAACAGCTACAATGGCACCTTCAGCATATTGTAAGAATCTCCCTTCCTCATGGTTCCCTACAGCCTGCCTGTCTCAGCAGCTTTTCCTCAAGAGCCTCCTGAGCCCTCCTCAAGTCCCCACCTTATGTTGACTGTGTGTGTGTGCGTGTGTGTGTGTGTGTTTTGGCAGACAGAGTAGGACAGTGAAAGACAGAGAGAAATGTCTTCCTTTTTCCGTTGGTTCACCCACCAAGTGGCCACTTTGCTTGTGAGCTTTCCTTATCCTCCTTCTCTTCTTACTCTTGTGTGCCTTCTACAGTCTCATATGTGATTGCCCTTACTGCTTTTCCTGATTCATTTTTTGTTGATTTCTGCCATATTATTACCTCATTGCTTTACTCCCATTCTTAAACACAGCCCTCATCCCAACTTATTAGAGATGATACAACAGTTTTAAGGATAGATTCTGGAGCCAGGTTGCCTGGCTTTGAACACAGGTCTCCCAGTGATTAGCTTTGTGACTTTGGACAAGTTACTTAGCTTGGATTCAATCTCCTCATCTGTAAAACTGGATTATGGCCGTGATCAGTTCACTAGACCGTTGTGTATTTAGATGAGTGGACACACAATACATCACTTCCAAGCATATGTGAATGTAAACTCGTAATAAATACCATTATTGCTGAGCCCCTCAGTTATAGCCTGACCTCACCTTTGTTCCTCTATACATAGTAGCCATTTTGTGCCATTCCAGGG